CCAATTTTCATTGTTTTCTTCACAATTTCCACAATTTTTTCCTTCAATTTTTTTGGAAAATCCATTGAAAATGATGGATGATTAATTTGGAAAATTATGGCTAAGTGTTGTTATGGAGAAGAAATTATTGAGCTAGAGTGCACTATATTTCAACAAAGCTAAGTGTAATTATTTATAGTTGGCTATAAAAGTTGAGTGAGGTTTTTTTTTATTCATTTACACATGATAATGTGTCTCTACTTAGATCTTTCGTGAGAAGGACAATTTATAAAAAAATAATTGTACTCTTTTTTTTTTTGGCTGACTGGGATTTTACTTGGATCTGAACTATATTTAATTGAAATGAACTTAAAAACTGTTTTTTCTTCAGAAATTTTGAAAAATAATGGCGACATTCTTTGCTTTTTCTGACGTATTAATGTGTTGCTATGGTAATGCTCAATGCCTTTTAATGTTCAAGGTAAATTTTAGTAATAACGGACATAATAGACTCTATAATTATAATTTCGATAATTGCACTCCATAACTATAGTTTTGTTTGCTAAGAAGGTTGTAGTTTGTATATTTCGTTTGTGAATATACAAATAAGACAAGTATATACAAATTCTATATTTATTCATTTAAGAATTTTTCAAAACTACGTTTGTATATTTCGCTTGCCAATTACAAAGAGGGTAATTTATTATGTACTTTTCATAAATCATATACAAATAGCTAGGGTAAACATATACAAAATTAAGGATTTATATAATCAGGAACCAAATTATACAAATTCTAGATTTATATAAATCAGGCGAATAGCACGAATTGAGAAAACTTTGTAACTGCAAATTACAATTTTCTTAAACTATAGTTATAATATCGAATATAAACTAAATGTTTGCTATTCTACGTAATTTTCCTTTTCTTTTTTTACTAGATGGAAAGCTGTAAAAATAAAAAGTGTGAAAACTTTGCATTGATTTACTACAAGTTCCTAGTTTTTTTTCTCTAATATTTTCTTTGTTTCATATTATTTGATTTATGAGAGAAGTATTGAAAACACTCTTAATGGCACATATTATTAGTTTCGTCCCTTAACTATTGATAGTCTTAAAAACACTCCTATACTTCAATAACTTAGATACACCTTGGATACACCCCGATCTGCCACATGACATAGCAAGTGGACTCAAACTCTTGTAGGAGTATGAGACTCTTAATAAAAAGTCGAGAGAAGTGTTGAAAACACCCCTAAACTTGACCAGAATTTAGGGGTGTATTTCACTCACCGCAAGATCGGGGGTGTTAAGTTTAATTATTTAAGTAAAATAATATTTTTAATACTGTCAATAGTTCACGGATGAAACTAATAATTCACACCGAATTTAGAGGTGTTTTCAATACTTCTTTCATTGATGTATTTTGCTAAACTAACATTATTGATGATGTTTTGAAACTCTAAATTAAACTGTTATTACTTTATATAGTTATTTAATGCTAAGAATAATATGCTCAGAAAAATAATAAAACTCATTGATTATTTAAAATAGATAAATAAAATGACTTCTTTATGATATAGAGGTCGAGAAAAATGAAATGCAAAGACTATTTGCTTATTGCTATTATGTTATAGATTATAATGTACATAGACGTCGAATGAACATAGATACATCTTCCTATAGAATACATAACATTATCATAGGTATAAATATTTAAAGGTTTTTTTTAATTCTGTTTTTCATAGATAGACACCTATACATTACAAACACTTCTTTTTGAACTAATTATACAATATTGAAATTGTTCCATTCTCACTGTACTTTACTAATTTGGCTTAGCTTTCTTGAATTTTCCTAACTCCTCAAATAGTTAAGTCAACAAATTTTGAACGTACATATGTAATACTTGATATATATGTTTTTGCAACTCACTTTTGTTCATTTTTTGGAGATGAAATAAAATGCTAGCTTAGTTGATTGAAAGAAACTAACAATTAATTACGATAAAATTGACTTTTATAATTAAGTAGTTATATCTATATAATAAATTTTCATATTTCAAATTTATAGCATGTACTGTCGTCTGTTTTGATCCAACAGACCTCATAGATTTATTTTTTTGAGCTAGATTATCTAGTCCAAAAGCATTCATTTAGTACCATATAAACTTATAAAATTCATTCTTATGCTTTTGATGAATAGTAGTGGGTAGTTATCAATACATATTATCATTGTTTTTGTTTGATTTTAATTCTTAATTGGACTCTAATCAAGACTAGATGACTTCCGAATCTTAGGTTTGATTTGATCAAAGTATTTTGTGGCTTTATGTACAAATATGTTATGTTGTTACTGTATCAAAAATGATTTTTAGGAGTAATTAATTAACGAAAATAACTTAATTGCCGTTAAATATATATTTTACAGGCAATTACTAGCTAGTGTCAATTACATTTTAGTACTCTTTACCGCTAAAGCCTACAACGATATTGGATCCAATGACAATTAACTAATGTCAATAAAAACTTTTTAACACTCTTTTGTTAATGTACGTGCATATTTATTGACACTAAAAAACTATTTTTATTATAGTGTTTCATACTTAACTTATCTAGAAAAATAAATATTTAGTTATTTTTAGAAGTAGGGTTATTCTTGGAAAATGAGTTCATCAAAACTTAGTTAGCATCATAACATTGGCAATTAGTGACTTTGAAGATGACCACTTAAAATATATATATATATATATTTTAAAAAGAAGTATAAATGACAAAGAAGAACTAGATAATGACTCACCTACTTTTATTATAAAGATCTCTATTTTATTCTTTTATTTTCATTTTTGCCCAATCTATCTATATTAATAATAGGACAAAACTGAAATCTAATACAAGTAGTTTTTTATTTTTATTTTAACAATATGCAAATAAAATTACAAATCACATGCATACTACCATATATTATCTCGGACATTCCATCTTCTATTATAATTTTTCATATATTCATTTCTTTATAATTGTATATGGTGTGTTTAGACAGCTTACGCGCATCTTAACTAATTTTATGAAATATTTATCATCTCATATCGATAATAGGTATCAAATAACTCACTTCATTGACAACTAAATTAAACCTCGGAGGCTATTCATAGATCCATTTGTTAAAAGTATATATCTCATTTGTCCCAATACTATGTATGTTATATACTTTACAAGCTTTAGTCAGCATTCAATAGTGAATACAGGATCTGATTAATTTTATAATAATTTATAATATCTAATCTTGTGTGGTATACACCTAATTAAAAAGAGAAAATATGCAGAAATCATTTGGATATTGGAATATCCACGAGGAGCTTATGGTGTTATCATCATCATAATTATTTTTGTTTCTTTTGCCCTTTTGGATGTACTTTTCAATTAAAATGCACAAATTATATCGAAAAGGTTCATAAAATGTGACACTTTATTGTGATACTATATGGTTAATTATCCATAATTAAAATGTATCTCTGGATATTAATTATAAGTAGCTACAACGATTAAACAGCAAATCACAACATGTTTTCATATATTATTATTATTTCATATTTTTAATTCTTTTTGTTAAAGGTTTGTCAGCTACCTTATCTATTCATAATGCAAATTTATGTTTGTTTTTTGTGTATCACCAATATGTTTTTCATTTATACAGTATTAGTTTGTGTAATTATAAAACTTAAGACAGACAATATTTTGCCTTGTGCCATTGAACAATAATCACCTCTTTGGAGCTAAAGGGATTTGTTAATTTGAGGGGAGAGAATGTATTTCTTGTAAAACAATAATACAAGTATATTACATGCTAAAAAAACAGGATAGTTATTATGAGAAATTTATAAGGAACACTACATTATTAGACATACATTTATATTATAAATATTAATTTTATATATACTTTCAAATAATTACGTATCTTATCACTAATTAAGAATTTTCTATCATATATTAAGAAAAAATACACCTAGATACATGTATTTTTACTATCAGATACACTAAAATAGAGAGAGAGACGAGCGAGATGGGGAGAGAGATAGTCATGTATCCAGATACATACAAATCACACCAAATACCTATAGATTATGTATGCATCTGATGTGATTCACATGTATATGGGATACCAAATACATAGAAGAGTGGCGAGCGAGGTGTGACAGAGGCGACCAAAATTTGTTGTCTATGTATCCTAGATACATGCGAATCCAATTGAATACAATGTATCTAAAACAAATTACACCTAAGTTTGACCCTATGTATCCCGAGATACATGCATTTGGACGTATCTGAACTCACCAAAATCTGGTAAGATTCTTAATATTGCATTAAAGAATATTTAAGTAATTAACTCCTAAATTAGTGAAATTTGTGTAAGTTTCCCAAAATTGCTAGAACTTTAAGTAGAGTGGCATTTATACTTAAGGGCCGTTTCATTTTAAAGCCCAGTTTTTCTGTTGGGCTAGGTGTCCACGTTAAAGTTCAGATCAAGAGAAGATTATGGGCTTGACGAAGGGCATAATCATGGGGCAAGTTTTTGCATGATTAACCTATTAAGGCGATTTTTAATTTTTGTCCTTTAAATTATAGACTAAATACTTCTAATTTTGATCTAATTTCGCATAACATAAGTTGTGCAATATCTAATTCATAACATGTACATTTATAAAACTTTTATCTTTTGTTGGAATAAATTCTCTCTCTTAAGGCATTGTACGGTTTGAAACTGAATTTATGTCTCTATCGAACATAAGTTTGGTAAAAACTATGTAAAATATAACTTATGACCTGTGGGTTATGAACTTCTTGAGGCAAAACATTCTGAAAATGAACTTATACCTCTATTGATAGGAGGGATACAATAATATATCACATCCCATCAACCAAACGACCTTCTAAATGTGGTTACAATTTATAATTTTTTGGCCAAACCCTAAATAGGGTCCTAAAAATGGTTATTTTTGTGTTTATTTTTCTTCATTTTGCAACTTCACCCCCTCTAATGTCAGCGTACTATCACCTAAGTCCGCCTCTGTCACTCAGCAAGAAATAAGTATTGCCACAGCAAAATCGCCGCTCTGTTTACCTCCATGAATACCCAAACTTGATCTCTTCTCTCTTCTTCTTCCTTCTTGGAATCGATTTTCCAAGACAATGATACAATGGACGGCGTTGTCTACTCCATTTCCATTCCGTTCAGGTCAGTCGATTTCTCTTTTCTTCTCCTTAATCAAATCTTTCCCATTTTCTGTAGCTTCTTCTCCTTCTTCTTCTCCTTCACCCATTTTGTCACCAGAAGAATCAGAACCCATTTCCATTGACCCCCTTTCTTCTCAGCTCCTCAATCTCCTTTCACACCCAAATTGGCAAAAACACCCATCTCTCAAGAATCTGATTCCTTCACTTTCCCCTTCTCGTCTCTCTTCTTTCCTCTCACAGAATCCAAATCTTAATCCCCATATCGCGTTTTCCTTCTTTGATTACCTCTCACGGCTTCCTTCTTTCAAACCCAGTGTTCAATCTTATGCACCCCTTTTGCGTATTTTGATTTCCAATAAGCTTTTTCAGGTCGCGGAAAGAACGAGACTTTCTATGATTAAATCATGTGGAACAACTGAGGATGTCGTTTTTGTGATGGGTTTTGTGCGGGAGATGAATAAATGTGATGATGGGTTTAGGTTTAAGCTTAATGGGTGGGGTTATAATACATTGTTGATGGCGTTATCGCGGTTTGTTATGGTTGATGATATGAAATGTGTGTATAATGAGATGTTGAATGATATGATTAAGCCTGATGTTTATACTTTTAATACTATGATTAATGGTTATTGTAAATTGGGTAATGTAGTTGAGGCTGAGGTTTATTTTAGTAAGATTTTGCAAGCTGGTTTGAAGCCGGATACACATACGTACACGTCGTTTATATTGGGGCATTGTAGGAGAAAAGATGTAAATAGTGCTTTTAAGGTTTTTAGGGAAATGCAGAATAAGGGTTGTCGAAGAAATGTGGTATCGTACAATAATTTGATTCATGGCTTGTGTGAAACGAGGAGGATTGATGAAGCGATGAAGCTGTTTTTGGAAATGGGAGATGATGGTTGTTCTCCTAATGTCCGGACATATACGATTCTCATTGATGCATTGTGTCGATTGGATAGAAGGGTAGAAGCATTGAGTTTGTTTGATGAGATGAGGGAGAAAGGTTGTGAGCCCAATGTTCATACTTACACTGTTCTCATCGATGGTTTGTGTAAAGACTCTAAGCTTGACAAAGCAAGAGAGTTACTAAATGTTATGTCGGAAAAGGGGATAGTTCCGAGTGTGGTGACATACAATGCTTTGATTGATGGATACTGTAAGAAAGGTTTGGTTGATGTTGCATTAAGTATTTTAGACACAATGGAATCGAATAGTTGTATCCCAAATGTACGTACATACAATGAATTGATTTCTGGCTTTTGTAGGGCGAAAAAGGTGCATAAGGCAATGTCACTACTTGATAAGATGCTTGAGCGCAAACTGTCTCCTAGTAATGTCACTTTTAACTTGTTAGTTCATGGACAGTGTAAAGAGGGTGAAATAGATAGTGCATTTAGGTTGCTTAGATTGATGGAGGAGAATGGTTTAGCTCCTGATGAGTGGACTTATGGTGCTCTAGTTGATGGCTTATGTGAAAGAGGTAGAGTTGAAGAAGCTAACACCATTTTTAGTTCTGTGAAAGAGAAGGGTATAAAGGTTAATGTTGCAATGTACACTGCTCTAATTGATGGACATTGCAAAACTGAAAAATTTGATTTTGCCTTCACATTGTTTAAGAAGATGATCGAGGAAGGTTGCTCCCCAAACACATGTACTTATAATGTGCTGATTAACGGGTTGTGTAAACAGGGTAAGCAGCTAGAAGCAGCACAATTACTTGAAAGCATGCCAGAAAGTGGTGTAGAACCCACAATTGAATCCTACAGTATCTTTATTGAGCAACTACTAAAAGAATGTGCCTTTGACCATGCTGACAAAGTTTTTAGTTTAATGATATCTAAGGGGCACAAGCCGGATGTCTGCATTTACACTTCATTTCTAGTTGCATATCACAATGAAGGGAAATTGAAAGAAGCGGAAGATGTGATGGCTAAGATGGCAGAGGCAGGAATTAGGCCAGATTTGATGACCTATACAGTAATGATTGATGGTTATGGTCGTGCAGGATTATTAAATCGAGCCTTTGATATGCTAAAATGTATGTTTGATTTTGGATATGAACCTTCTCATTACACCTATTCTGTTTTGATTAAACATTTGTCCCAAGGAGGACTTGATCTCAAAATAGAGGCCAGTTCGATTAATATTGCTGATGTGTGGAAAGTAGTGAAATATGAAACTTTGCTTAAACTCTTTGATAAAATGGAGGAACACGGATGTCCTCCTAATACAAACGTTTTTAGTTCGCTTGTTATTGGTCTCTGTAGAGAAGGACGTCTTGGGGAGGCTTCGAGGTTACTTGATCATATGCAAAGTTGCGGAATGTCTTCTTCTGAAGATATGTACACCTCAATGGTAAATTGTTGTTGCAAGTTGAGAATGTATGAGGATGCAACAAGATTTCTTGACACTATGCTTACACAAGGTTTTTTACCACGCTTAGAGTCATACAAGCTCCTTATATGTGGGTTGTATGATGATGGAAATAATGATAAAGCTAAGGCAGCCTTCTTTCGACTTCTTGATTGTGGGTACAATAATGATGAAGTAGCTTGGAAACTTCTAATTGATGGCTTACTTAAGAGGGGACTTGTAGATAGATGTTCTGAGTTGTTGGATATTATGGAGAAAAATGGTTCTCGACTTAGTTCCCAGACATATACATTTCTGCTAGAGGGACTTGATAGAACAGACAACAAATGAAGTATGAAGTTCCAGCTATTTGTGATTCTATTCCATATGTTTGTTCAGTCAAGCATGTCCACAACTAGAATTCACGTGCACCTTAGTACCCTGTGGCCCAAATAATGATTTCTCATTTCCATTCTTGTGGGCTGTTCTTTTTAAGGGGAATTTGCCTTCCATGAGATCAGTTTGGAGTCCCCATATGGTATATGCAGCTACGTCTGACAGGTAACAGGCAAGTTTCCGTTGCTTTCTTAACTTGTTCTTCCACTCCTCCATCTATTTTCATCTTTAGTGTGTTCTTTATACTTTTTATTAAAGTGGAAGGTGGATAAAATTGTAAAAAAAATTATGTCTCGTTTGTGGATCTAAAACATGTTCTATTGATTCTATTTCAAAATGCTGTGAACTATTTATAATTATGTCATTTTATTGCTGTAGAGATCACATTTCTAGGCATGGGGGCAACCTTTAATGGCAGAAATTGCTAAAAACGTACCTTCATCACCCAAGAACTCCATTAGAACCCTCTCTTAAGCTTTCTTTCTGGTTCTGAAAAGAAATGTTTTTATGGGTTAAAACGTTGTATAGCCGACATACCATATTTTTGACCCGACCCGGTTTGCAACCCGGATTCTGCCCAGACAGTCTGCAGTAAAACACTCATAACTTCTTACTCCGATGTTGGTTTGATGTTAGGTTTTCTTCATTGCAAACTAGACTTGTAGACCTTCGATTTGATAGGTCATGGGCCTTATTAAATCTTTATATATTGGGAGAAAACATCAAAGACATTTGACCCAAAGTTCAGAAAATTTTATTAGAGAAACTTACAATAACTTTTGCCGACCTTTGTTTCGCTACTTTTCTTGACTTCAAAACTTAAAATACAACCATTGTGCTATTATTATACCTCATAAAACATTATTCTTAGCATAGACACTCATAGGCTCTTCCCGGGAGGTATGGGTTCATTTAAGCCTTTCAAATGGGCGAGGTGCTACATGAGCCATTTCTTTAACCCCGAACCTTTGTTTGAGGGATTCCTTTGACATGATTTTCAGAACTCTCAATTATAACTTAAATGTTTAAACTATTAATACACTTGATTTTTGAAATACTCTCTTTATAAGTAGTTTGAAGAGATATGGTAGGTGTTTGGTTTTGATGAATCATCTGTTTAGGCTAGCAGCCGTGAGCTGCTACTCTGTGACAGTCAAAAAGATTTTTCAATAATAAGCTAGTTTTCTCCTCTCTAAAACAAAAATAATTTAAGCAAATTGTAACTAGAAAAACATCTTATTCATCAGAGATGGAGTCAAGTTCCGTTCTTCTATTCTTTAAAGTTTTAACAAAAGTACTCTTAAGCAAGATGCTGTGTTTTTAAGACTCTGCTAGAATTCACATTGTTAAGCAAGATGGTTTTACCCTGAAACCTTACCCCTGCCTCTACCCTTCCCTTGTTTTATGAGAAACACTGTGTACTATGATTCAGTATGTGCAATTCTATTTCCTTTTCAGGATAAGCACTACTCTGTCTCTTTAGGTGGTACATATTGCTAGATATTTTCTTGATGCTGATGATTTCTGGAATTTCTATTTTGGTTATGGGATTAAGTCAATTTTTTGATGGTTTCTTTTTATATTCAACTTGTGTTAAATGGTATACATGAGTAGTTTTTGGTCATGACGGGAGGGGAGGCTTGGGTTTGTTTGACTCATCAGGCACAGACAGTGGCTTTTTCTGTTTTAAATCTTTTAGTTCTTTCCTTCTATCGCGATTCCTTCACCATTATGTGTTGTCTTTTCTCACATTTGTATTTCTTGGTGTTGATCCATGTGATTTATTTATAGGTATGTTGATCCATGCGATTAATATATTGCCTTTCTCCATAAATCAATTTGCAAGGAACCAGTAGAGACAAAAGGGGTTGGTGTCTTATCTTTTATCATTTGATGATGTTATATTCTACATTGTTTTCGATGTATTTGGTTTGGACTGTGGCGTGCGGTTAATACTCTGCTTCAAAAGTTAAGAAAGCAAGGGAATGGAAGAGACAAGTAGAGAAAATCAAAACATGTCTCTTGCCTAGTTTGGTCGTAATCTATGCGGTGGTGGGAAGTTTTAGAAGAGACCACAGGGAGGAGATAACATTACTCTGGATAAGCGAGAGAAGAAAATCATTTTCTTTTCACTCTTTCTTATTTTTCTCTTCATTTCCCTTTATAATTTCTCTCCTTTCCCTTGGTGTTTTTTTTATATTCCAAAACTAAAAGAAGCAATTAGACTAGAGATATTTTCTTCTCCTTATCCATCCTCACATGTTCTTCATCTATGCAGGGAGTGCCAGCACTTGATGTGCCAGAATTGTTGGCATATTAGTTAGGCAGTCGCGCCCATTTCTGGATCAATTTGGAATAAGAAAAGGTAATAGTTCATTTGTGATTTACAAATATACGTGTTGATTTTTGATTATCTTAGTTGCTTATATTCTGTTTGCATTACCTCTTCATGGAATGCTAAATATTTTCTCATTCTCAAAAAAATATTTGTTCTGTTTGCAATACTTGACCTGTGCATTTAGTCTACGTGAGTGCTCTTTATTTTCTTTTTCTTTTTGATGCTTAGTCTATTTAATTGTTGAAGGTAAGATAATCTTCACTAGCATAAGTAGCTATGGTGATATTACCTATGCTCCTGTTTTGATATTTTATCAGTGCTTTAACTTTGCTCTAGATATTCACTTATTCTTTTTGGACATATATAGTAGGACAGATAGCCTACTCTTGCACATAAAGTAGGATGGTTAGCTTACCTTTGCATCAAGGTGTGAAATTTCTAAAAGATATTCTCATTTTATATTTATTGTAAATTGTTGCACATATATCCAGGAACATTTTCATCTTGTGTGAATTCTGCAGTAGGACTGTTACTTACAGGCTTTCAACAAGTAAAATGGGATAGTTTCTCCATCATTTATCCTTGACATGTCCAGCATGAAGCATTTACATGATATACTGTGAGTAATAGACAGATGTTAGTTGGATGTCATAATTTAACAATCAAGCTTGATGTGTCGATGGACACTATAAGTTATCTTCTCTGGCTCTTAAATTTATTTATCAGAAAAGATTGTGGATGTCTGTGCAGCAAGGGTCGAAGCAAACTTTTACTACACCACTTACCCGGAGGAGGGTCCTCATGGTTGAAAGTGAAATTATGAATGATGATCTGGATATAAGAACCATGGTCATTGTTATGAAGGTGGATTTTGAGGAGATTCTACCAAGCAGAATCTATCAGATGATAGAAGGCATGTAGTCACAACGGCTAGCCTTCCTTCAATAACAGGAACTGCTGTAAATCTTCTATTCCAAACAGCTCACTTAGCCAGATCAGAAAAGCAGAATGCTATGTTACTGGTTCCATGGCTATGTAAATCTGACCAAGAGCTAATTTTTCCTAACCATCTTTCATTAAGTTCTCCTGAAGATCAGGACCTTTATATATGCAATTGGCTTGAGGAGCGAATTGGTTTCAAGGCTGACTTCAGGATTTCATTTTACCCTGGAAAGGTAGTCCCTGATTAACAGCTAAATAAATTATAATATGATAGGCGAAGATGTTGAGATGGATGTGATTATTAACAAATATTTTTTCCCTTGCAGTTCTCCAAAGAAAGGCGGAGTATAATACCAGCTGGAGATACTTCTCAGTCTATCCCGTCAAGGGATGCCGATGTTGCAAAATTTTAGAGGAGCCAGAACATCTCAGTTGGTACCACCCAGGCAAATGTTGGAGTGATAAATTTAAATCATCTTGTTGGCGTTGTCCACACAAACTATTTGGAATATATCAAGAGGGAAATGAATGGGGCTCTTCAAGCTTTTTTTGTGAAACATACTAACAATTGGGTAACGAGAGCATACCAAGACAAGGTATGTTTAGTCTATGGATTAATTCTCCTCCATAGAAGAAGAAAGAAGGAAACTGTGGTCACATGCATTTAGCATTAGAAGATGCCTTAACTGCATTTTAGAGCACCATGTTCTTTTATTAATATTAAAACACCCTACCTGTTATTTCATTTTTGTCTTAATTGAGATGTCAATATTGCTGTTTAGGTATCCAGGATTTACTCAAGTTTTTGGTCTGCAATGTTCACAGTGTCGGTCCAAAGTTTCTGAAAAAGGAGAAAAAGTGGCAGCAGATAGATGAAGCGACCAGCAAGTTTTCTCTAATTGAGCATCTTTCTTAGGCAAAATGGTCTGGGCGAATATACTGGGAGTTAATAGATCTCTTAAGCAAAGCACAAGAATGACCTTAATGGCTTTAATTTGGAGGTATATGGCAATGGGGAAGATGCTCATGAGGTGCAGAGTACAGCAAAGAGGTTAAATCTTGATGTCAGCGTCATGAAAGTAGAGACAATACACATGATTTTCTTCATGGGTAAGAATCCTAATGTAGAACTTAGGGCATTATTTAGTGCATCTTTTTTCCGTTTTTGTCCAATGATCTATAAAGCATCATTAGGGATAACATTCTGTTCCCTGTGGCAAAATGATTTTAGAATGACTGTTAATGCATAAATGACTAAGATGGTAAAGAGTATTCGTATGATCTGCAATGTTAACCTGAAAACTAATTGAGCACATTCTTACCTGATTTCTGTGATGTAGAGTATGAGACAGATATACTCACCTGGGAGATTTTCAATCTTACTCGGATACAAATGTTCTTATTCATTTAAAGGGTGAAATCTCCTGAATTACTTCACTTGTGTAAAGTCTTAAACTTTTTCTCCTTGACATCTTCTACAAATACTGAATACAATTTTTTTTTTCTTGGGATTTTTCATTGACATGGTACTTCCAATTGCTAGATCTTAAGCTTGATCAACTATGTTGAATGCAGACCCTTTGCTGCCTTTTGTTTGATGCTAGTTATTGTTTTCCCCATTTCCTTGTTCTCTGTTAGATTCTTTACTGTTCAGCTTTTAACATAGTTTTGCTTCCAGTGCTGTGCTTTGCACTACCATGGCTGAGCTCTTGCAATGCGGAAATTTGGACCACTGTTGGATGAATTTTTCCAGGTATTCCCAATCCTGCTCGACTTACATGATGCCTGAAGACTTTGTAGCAAAATTTGAAGAGGTACACAGACGTTCATGGAGTTTTCTGGCCTCGATAAGGTTTTGACTATTGAAACCAGACTGGACAGGAGACGTTGGAAGGGCCCTGGATTAATCTTGTAATGCTAGGTTGGTAACACTACAAATATAAGAAGACAAGTCATGTGTGCTGGCTAATTAAATTTTATTGATGTATGCTAAATGTCTTGTTTAATTGTTCTATTATCAAACTTTCTCAAGGTTATAATAAACTTTTACAAGTATAATATGACATGTTCCTTGAAATCTTGTACTGAAACTGCAGGCTTAAATCTTCATAGTGTCATGCCACATGCATTTATGAATTCAGAAAAGTTCTAAAAAAACAAACAAAAGTATCACCAACAAAAGATTAGATATAAACCCAAATGTGTATAAACAAGCAAATAGCACAAAACAGTCTCCCTCAGCTCCATTTCTACTTTAGCAATAATTTAATTACAAAGAGAACTCCAAACATTAGAAATATGAAAAAAAGAAAGATACTCCGATGCACAAAGCATCTCGTGTTGATGCAGGGCCAGGGAAAGGCGACACCCTAAGGGGATGTTATGTAGACAGACTATCTTGACGTGCAAGTATTAGTGACTAATTTCACGGTTCAAGCCCAACATGTGAGTAATTCTTATTTCTTCCATGGTTGAATAGAAAGAACCACCACCAAGACAATAATGAGCAAAATAATAATGGCAATACAAGTCCATTTTCTTGAACTTTTCTGGTGTTTTCTTGCTACCTCAAGCTGCTGAGCACCACCTCTCACAAATGAACTGGCTCTATTGACTTGACTTTCAATGTCATCTAGCTGTGCTCCTTGACTTTCCACTAAAACAGCCATGTCCATGAAAACTTGATGCAATTCTTTCAGATTTCTCTCTAATTCCTTCACAGCTTCATGCCTTTCTTGAATCTCCATAACTGTGTCCATTACTTGTCCTCTTCCTTGCTCCTGTATTGCTTTCTGCAAAAATGTCTCACTTTGGCCAGTGGATATTAGAGTATCCAGTGTACCTTCATCTGGATTTTCTCCCGTCACCGTGTAGTACCTGTTGATTTAAACTCTTAAAGTAGTCAGAAGTCGTGATCCCGAGTCTCATCCACATTCATTATAAAAAGAATCAGAGCCACATCATACATGAGAGGATCAACATTGTGTTCTCTCTAACAGTTTCAGCTTTCAGATGAGATAACCACATACTTCAATCTAAACAGAATAGGTAAAGGTCCGGATTTCAAATGTCCTTAGAAAAATCTCATATTTTCCCTTGATCCATAACGGAGCTTCAACATGAAGGTAATTTTAAACCATAGTCTAAAGTTGAGGGCCTTTTTCTTGAAGAATTTGGACAAGTAGACCTACGTTTCACCCGGAGCTCCATTAATCCATAAGGAACAAATACAAAACAATTTACTAACGGCAAGAACACGAATGAATCAAAAGTCAAAGATGCTCCGTGTAATTCCACAAAGTGGGATCTGGAAGGGTAGAATGTATGACGTTATCCCTACTATAGAGAGACTGTTTCCAATAGACCTCGATTCACACACAAAAAAAAAAACAGTCCAAAGCAGTCCAAAGAAAGAACAAATGGAAGTCAAAACAATTAGGTGAAAGTTCAGATAACCAGCCAACTGAGTTACTAACATTTCTCGGGAAAATAACAAATAGTAACAAAAACATCACATAACACAAATGCAAGATTTAAAGTTGATTCAACAATACCTTCTCTGAACAGTTTCTCTATACTCAGATGCCATTCTTTGCCTTAATTCATTGAACTGATTCATAGATTCTTGAAGTTTTTTCCTCAATCCATTCACAACAGAGGTTCTTGTTCTATCTGATGAACTTCCAGGTCCACAACCAGGTACACTTCGATTAGCAGCATTAGATCGATCTAATGCTTCTAATCGAACTTTGATAAATTTCGCCTTTTTCAAAGCTATCGAAACATCATTATCCATCTTTGTTCTGAGATCTTTGACATTTTTGGCATTGTGCAGAGTCTTGCTCTGTTCATGTGAATTGTGGAGTTGGGTATGAATCTTTTCGAGTTCTTTAAGCTCGTCTTTAATGGTTTCTACATCTTCGAAGAATTTATCAAGATTGACACCTCCAGTTTGTCTCATTTGTATTCCAGGTGATTCTTGATTTGGGGATTGTTCTTCATTTCTGAAACGAGAAAATGATCCTGAGAATAGATCATTCATTGTGAAATTCTTATGCTAGAAACAATTTCAAGATTTTGATTGGAAATTTTGGTTGAGATGGGTTTTGAAGGGTTGAAGTGGGGGTGGGAAGGGGGTGGGGGTAAGGGGTTGAAATTAACTAGTTCTTGAATGGCAGGCTGGAGAGAAGACTTGTCAAAATGGTTGTCTACTTCAACAACTATGGTGACAAGTTGGAAGGAAAAAATATGAGTTTAAAAAGTCAATTGATATTAATGTATTAGTCTTCACTATTCAATGTATATTAAAATAGATAGTGACTTCGGGTTGTGGTGGAGTGGTGGATATTCGTTCATCCTTAACTAGATGTTATATATTCGATGTCTTCCCTATGGTGGCACGGGTCATAGTCATGCTTGAAATGAAGTTTGTGTGGTAGACTTAGTTAAAAAATAAAATTGTGCATTTGCTATAAACTATAGATTTTGATATGATGGTAAGAACTCAAATCTAAGATTCGAGAGTTGGATATAGAGTCGTCCTAGGTTTGAAGCGCTTTGAAACTTTATTGATGTGAATCTAAATTAGTCGAGCTCTATAGCTGATAACTGACACTAAGTGAGAAACCAAAAAAATAAATATATAGAGACTAAAGGTTATGGTAGAATGATGATTACTCCTCCATCTTTAACTAAATATTTCGGGTTTCAAAGTCTAACAAAAAAGATTAATATAGACTAGGGTAGTGAGCATTCCTCTATCATATACCACATGTCTCAAGTTCAAGTTTTGAATATATAATTAGTTTTGATAGGAATCACTCTACCTTCTAAATTGAACTTTCCGACACGATTTCAAAGTAATCTGACCTGAAAGCGAATACCCTTAGAAAAAAGAAGGAAATGGTCAAAACTCACAAGTATGGTTAAGATTGACTGGGTCTAAGTCTAACAGGGCCGGGGTTTATACGTCAGAGAATTTTGAGTACCATAGAGAATGTTCTCATCTGAAAGGCTGTTTTGGCTTACATATTAATCATGGACAAATTATAACACTAGAATTGTCTAAGTAACAAATAAATATGAAAAACTAATACTTGGATACAATTTTAAATGGACTGAACATCTGGAGCTTGAACAATATAAGACACGACCCAACATCAGAAACAATGAATTGAAATGAGTCTTACTCTGATACCATAGTACAAGTCCAGTCTCAAACACACCAAATACTAAATCAATACTTCAATTCAATTTTTACAAATCAACATATACACAACATCACATACTCGATAATTTGAACCTTCATAAACTTATATCGATTTAGGATATACGTCCTACTATAAAGAAAAAGTGCATTAAGGTTTTAGCACTTCGTAACATCCATGTAGCTATCTGAATAGCTACATGGAATGATATATAGAAGCAACCTTAATGAGTATAGCCAAGGATGATCTGCCTATTCTAGAAACCAAATCGCGGTAGGAACAGAGTCCATAGACCTCAATTTGGTTGTAGTAAGGGTAAAACGTCATCAATTTCTGGGGTTTCTGCAGCAGTAGCTATCAACTGCTGCTGCAGAACCCCACTTACTGGCCATGAAAATTTCATGGCCAGTATCCAATAGAGGACATATTGTTAGTTGTTTCCTTTATTGAGTTAAAATTGAATACATCAGACTGCAAAACTTCAGAATTTTGTGATATAGTGTGATGACATTTCTTGTTGCTAGTCTTGGTTGTACCGTTTGCATTATCGTTGATACTTCCATTCGTCTTCCTCGTGTTCAAGAAGCGGCCCCCACCTCCCCTAGGTCTACTCTTGGCATGGAGATGGCGCGAGAGGTGCAAGAATGGCTGTAACCATTAAACCAATACAAAAATTAAGCAACCAAAGTGAGAACATGAAAGGAACTTTGGGTACGAGGAAAGAGAAGAAGCTAGCTGGAAGTAATCTCTTCGTCTCAATTAACTATCATTCCTTTCTAAAGAGAGTGCTAAAATTTATGCACTTAATAGGGATAGAGAGCACATTGCTAACATGAAAATGCCAGTTGTTACCATAGTAACTACATGAATCAAAGTCATCTATAACTATTTAGCCAAAAGAAGAATTTTACCTTACGCGGTTTAAGTAAGTTCTTCTCCATTTCCTTTGCGCGGAATTTTCTACGCCTAAGTATCCCATGATATTGCTTGGCATTGACAAATATTGGGCTTTCATCATGGGAGGTCAAATTCAATGGTAGCATAATCCGGCCCTTCAAAATTTTGAGAATACAAAGTCCATTATTAGTATATTACTTTCTGCGTTTTGATAAATATAGTTGCTGATAATTCAGATACAAAACTTGCATATAAAAAAATAGGGATACTTAAGGTGTAATAGTATGAAAAGGCCTTTTATATCGATGATGTATATAATTTTAATCTAGAAAACTTTACCAGGGGTTGACCAAATAAACCTAGATCAAAGTGGCCTTGATAGTCCATAGTATATGATTGCATAGAAACACCTGATTCATGAGAGTCTGCATAGATATTAATAAGAGTTTAATGGAAGTTTCATACAAAAGCATAACTCCAATTTTGTTAATTAAATCAATATAGAAGGTATCCTTAGTAAAAACAGATGAAGGAAAGGTGAAATTGGTTAGATAGTGAATCGAAGGGTCTCTCAGAAACAACCTCTCTATCGTACTAAGTTAGAAGTTGTGTACATTCTACGTTCCTCCTAGAGAAATTACAACCATTTCCTTCAAATCTCTTGTTGATCTTCCGTTTGTGTGTTGGGCTAAGACAATTTAAAGATATTCTCAACAATGATATGTGTGATACCATTCGTTTTGAGACAATTTCACATGATTTAATTTTCTTCAAAAAGTTTTTTGTAGTTTCACATGACCAATAAAAGTATCTTTATACTTTATATTATGTTTCTTTTCGCTATCAATATGAGATTTTGTTCGTTCACCCAACAATTTCCCTTTTGAACTAAATTCCACAATATGGGCCATTGTCAATCCCTCAAACTAAATTCTACATGACTCATCACTCAAAACAATTAGGACAATTATTAATTACTGAGACGGTAATTATTTCAAATTATAAAGTAAATTAGTATTTATGGTAGAATATTTGTGTAATTATTCGAATAGTTTTTCCTTATTTTATATACAATATGTGCCTAAGCCCATGGTGAAGCAAGATTAAAATTAGAAATAGAAGTTTATTGTAATTTATTTAATTATAATCAAAACACATATTTTATATTATATATCCTTTATTATTTAATTTCAACATGTATTATAACTCAGAATTGTTCTCTATAAATAACCTAAATTAACTATAAAAGATAAAGAGAATATTACCAGAGGACATAGGCTGCTCCATAGATAATATTATTCTAAAATAAATTCCTGCAATCCAACAACAAACAATAATTGGACATCAAATTAAATAAGGACATTTTTTCACACTTAACTTCACCAACCAAATTATACAAAAAAATAAAATAAAAATGAATTGAACTTCTTAAACAGTGGTACTTAAACAACATAGAATGAATTAAGATTGGTAATCAATTGAATATCCTTTGCCAGAAAATCATATTATGTATACTAAAAATTGAATTGTGTATACAAATCGAAAATTACACTATACATAAAATCTTGAACGTCTTTTAATGAAATTTTTATCTACGCCATCACTGGTAGTAACTCTTCTAGCCACAATTATAAATCTTAATTTCTTACATATCTAACTCTACATTATTATATATAGTAAGGGAAATCAAGATAAATTAGAAGAAAAACAAGGAACATATAAATGAAATTCAAATAAAATTAAAATTACTAGTCACTCACTACATAAAAATACTAAGAGTATGAACATAACTAAGATCATTAATCACATATGGATCACACAAAGTTAGTAGATATAAAAAAAAAAAAATACTAAAAGCAAATTAAACAAGAGCTCTACTAAATATAAAATTTGAAGCATGTATTTTATTTTATTTTTGAAAAAAAAAAAAAACTAAAGAAGTTAGCTGAAGAAGAGAAGAGTGACATACTCACAAAGAGAGAGGAAAGAAATGGCAAATAGATAGAAGTATCCTATGAAATCTAGCCCAATTAAAGACTATATATATCATAAGGAAAAAAAAAGGAAAATGTTTATCTTTTATTTTCCTAATAAATCTCTGTCCAATTGGTCCCTAGCCAAGTGTCATCAATTGTATGTATGTGCACTTTGATCATTTAGTCATATGCTTTTATGAATACCTATGTTATTAGGTGTACATATAATTTTGTGCTATTTAGATTTGTGGTTTAGCTATTCAGTTGGTTAGTTAAAGGGTGCGTAAGGGTATTTTTGAGTTAAAAATATAACGTTAAGGAGGATAAAATTAATCTATTTCATATGCATTTTATATTCTTACCTTTATGATGAACATTGTTTGATATTCTTGATGTTATTTTTTTTTAATTGAAAAATAAGGGCAAGAAAAAGAACTCATAAGAAGTGGTAATTTTACTGTTATTAGTGGGTGGAAAGAGGATGACAACTATAATCTTGTAGTATAAATATTTGAGTTAATTATGTATTTCGAGTTTGAGTTTTAAAAATAAAAAATATTTGGATTAGGAGTGTTCCCCTTTAATGAATCTTACTGTTTATAAATGACAAATGTAATGTTGTGGGTGGGGGAATGACTAGGGCTTTTAGATAATTGATAATTGAGGTGCTTTTTTGTTGGTTTTCACACTTGGCATAAATCTATACAATTGGCTCCCACTATTATAATTGGTTGGTGAAGTATTTTAGTATCTCTAGATGACCACTATAGATAATAACGAATGTAGTGGGATGAATAAGATATTTTCGTACTTTAATTTAAGATTTCGAGTTTGAATTTTGAAAAAAAAAATCATAATAGAAAGCGTTTCTTTTTTGAATGAATCCTATATAGTAAGAACTTAGATTAGACTACTCAATAGATTTTGAATACCATATGTATGAGCAAATGCATTTGGAAAAAATATTGTTATGTTTTTCTCCTCTTTTCTTTTTTTAATAATTGTGGTAGTATCATATATAAAAAGTAATCATCTAGTGTTGTTGTCTTTACTGAAATTTGAACTTGAAACTTCATGATTTTCAATTCACTTCGTTGATCATTAGGCCACGTAATGTTTTTTTCTCTTTGTTGTTGTTGGACACTTCTAAATCAAAGTACACTTTTATTTTGGTTAAAAGAATGTATTGTATGACAAGAAAAAATCCAAATTCTTTTCATCATTACTAAAAGTTTTTAAAATCACAAAAATAAATAAATTATAGATCAACTTTCAACAACAACAAAAAAAAAAGGAGGAAGAAGAGGAGTAGCTTCAAAGAACTGCAAAAATGGTTCATAGCTTTAGATAATTATTGCAAAAATGGCAAAAAGATGTCTTAAATGGAACTCATCATACTTTGCCAAATGCATCATTAGTATCCACATTAATAATGTTACAATTTTTTATTACTTCTATAATGAACTTAATTTTGATGATATATAAATAAAATAATAAAAACCTATTCCAACAATTCTTAAAAGGTATATTAATCAACTACATGAAAATGATCTTTGTTATTAAGACTAGAGAACCCTTATTTGGTAACTTTACTTAGATACTTTTTTTGGTAAATAAATATATACATTGGATATATATTAAAAAAGATTCCATAAATAATTACAAACTCAACGTGTAGGTACACGTGTTACTCCTTAATTAGTGAAAAAGCATTTCGAACATTTAGCACTAGAATAAATCTTATTTTTATATTCAGGTGTTATCTTAGGATGAATAATATTTCTTTATTGTTAATTAAAAGCTTTTGATTGACGCCTTGCAATTTGATTTTTTTTTTGGTTGGTGAGTATTTTGTTCCTAAATGAGTCGTATACAATCTGAATTTAAACTAATTAAAACTTCAATAAAAATATCAAATATTATTTAAAAACCAAAAGAAATATTAAATTAAAACCTTGATAATTTGGGGAAAAAGAAATAGTTATATCATATATGAGTGTTCTTGTAGATGCATTTTGGTGGATGATATATTGAAGATTTATTGGAAGCCATAAGATAGCTACATGTGGAATACACTTATTAGTGCCACATAAAAAGTTACTTATATGATTCTTTTTGTTGCAAATCTTCGTAAGATTTAACTTTTTCATTAAAGATTCGAAATTTCTTTATTTATAATTTAAAGATTTTAGATTTAAGCCTTCAAAAATAGATTATTTTTTTTTACCAAAGATCAATATATTAAAATAAAAGCATTGCAATCCGCAAATTCACATTTAACGAAATTTTAGTGACATATAAAAATCTTAAACAAAACCTCTGTCTGTCTTCTTGAATCAATTCCAAAGGGTGAAAACTTCAAAAAAAATATTTATCTGTATTGCTTGGATCTTAAAATTTACTGCCGGATCGTTCAAAACCTATCCGACACGGGTGTGACAACATTTTTGGAGGGTCCAAGCAGTATAGTATTGATAGTGTATTTTATTTGCTTGTAATTGATTGAGAATATACACCACAATAGACGAGTTTCACTACAAGTTTACTGGAAACGGTTGATGTGGGAGATGAAATTGATAAGCAACTTTATAAGATATGTCATTTTCCCTGTATATGTGCTGTTTTTGTCGGATATATTGTTGTTTCTTCCCTCAAAGAGTCTTTTGTGCACTATGTTTGTTAGCTTTTGACTATTGCAACTTTTTATCTCATCTTTTAGAATTTTAGCCATGGAACAATATGGCCTTGTCTTTTGAGAACATCACTCTCACTTGAAATGATGTTTATATAAGGTTGAGACAAGTTTATTATTATGAATGAGCATTTTCGATATGTTTATTCATGAAGTCTAAAGATTCACCATACAACAACCCACACGCCCCGTGTTATTTCACAAGTTGTGTCTGAGAAAGGTGATGTGTACGCAGTCATTTATCTCTATTTTGTGAAAATAGAGAGATGGTTTTTGATAGACTTTCGGTAAAGATTCACTATGAGGTTTACTAATATATCAAAACCTTGATGTACTAAACAAACCTAACCTACCTAATGTGATAAATTAGTAATTAAAATCTTGGTTTGTACTATGATTAGAAATATAATTAGGGACTAACCTCCACTTTCTAGTTAGTTCCTCCCTCACTAAAAGATTCTGGTATTAATTCATTTGGGTTGGGAAGATACTGATTTGTTGTCAATGTATTCAGAATCGTTAAAGTGTTTAGCGGCATTTAAGTTGAAGCTTGATTAATTGATTAGTCAAGTCAGTATTAAGTATACTATTTGTCTATTATCAAGAATTGACAGTATATTTACTTACTATTTATTATGATTTAAATTTAACATATGTTACATTATCAGACAGACTCTTATCACTAATATAATAAAACTTTTCGAAAATGTTTTTTGACAGATTTTCTTTCAAAAATTCCATATTTTTGATGGAAACGTTCATAAAAAATTATATTTTTTCAATAAGCAAACTTCATTTAATAAGGTTCCAAATCTGCACATGTCTTTAAATTTTTCGTCCTTTTTCCCTTAAAAAAAGATTTTAATAAAGTCTTTTTAACATAACATGTATATAAATACAGATAAGTCCAAAGTTGGCTTGTCCTTTTTCATAAAGTTGGTTTACTAAAAGTTCTTATCATATATCCAGACAAGAGAAAATGATCAAAATAGTCCTCAATGTATGGACTTAGATTGATTTGGTCCATCATATATGCAACTTATGGAAAAAGTTTTTTATTTATGTTAAAAACTTATCAATTTAGTCTTTCACCCTAAAAACCTAATGACACAAAAAAAAAATTCTGTCAAATTTAACAGAGATGTGCAACTCACGTGACATACAAAAATCTTAAACAAAACCTCTATCTTATTGAATCAATTCCAAAGGGCGAAAACTCCCACCTTTCCAATAAAAATCATTTTCTTGTAAATCAATCAACACAAATTTTTCCATTGTTGATAGTGTTTGGGTAGGTTCCGACGAAGGTGAAGAAGACGGCTACTAACACACTCATCAAAATTGTTATTTATCAAACACACAAGAGTAGAACAATAAAAACTATAAATTGGCAGAATTGGAGATACTGGAATCATGCACCAGATGCATTCTGATAAGAATCAAATTTGACATTTCAAAGTTATTGAGTAGAATTGTAGCACTCGATAACATATTGTTTGGCTGGTTGATGTTTTATCAATCCTTTATGATAAACTTTGATACTAAAAAAAGACTCCTCGAACACAAAATCTGCAGTTGAAAGATTACATATTTAAGCCGATTAAGACCACATTCTAGAT